AAAGATGCCGCTCTTCTGAGCAATCCGAAACAGATGGTCCCGTCTTTTTCTGAAACAGGAGCTCGGCTTTTCGTCACCAGATTCATGGGACAGTTCATATCAACGGGTTGTGTCATGTAAGCCTCCGAAACCTAAACTATGCAACTCTCCATATCAACTTTTCTCCAAAGCTAATCCATTTTCCTGGCACTTTGAATCATAACTTGATTTCTTACACAATGACCCGCATGATGGAACGGACAGATTACTAGAAGACGGAGGAACAGTGTTCAAGTTCGGCGGGAAACATCCAAAATGTAGCTTGAAATCTGTTGTAAAGATTCATAGTCCTAAGTTTTACTGGAAGGTAAATGCGGGATCATAGATTGATGTTATATCAAGATATGTCTCAGAATCCAGATGAATTTGTAGATGTATTGATAAACACACATTGTTCTTCCATATCTGGCTCACGAACTCGACTCTTGATTCTGCCAGGTAATGACAGAGGCGGATTTAGGATTCTCGGACGCTTATATCAATGGAGATTTATCGTTCGTTGACAAGGACAATGGGCTTCTGAATATGATCATGGTAGATAGGAGACATAGAATCTGTGTCTTTTTCTTTCTCTCTCTCTTTTTTTTTTCTCACTCGGTGTGTTGAGCTTTTTTTCTTGCAGATCCTCATAGCTAATAGAGATCTGAACTCATCGAAATCGAATATTCCGAAGAAACGGTAATGGTCCAACTTCAAGTGAATGCAATATAAGCTCAGTGTGCTAATTCCATCGTCTTTTGATCGTTTAGGGGTTGGTGGACACCGATGTTTTTTACCGCTGGTTTATCGTCAGCAAAGTACTTTCTGAAACATGTCTCCAGAATGAACACCTTAACACAAGCTCGTAGGAACATTTCTCATCACTACGACTTGGTACATGTCCTTATCCTTAGACGTTTTCAACCTCGGTGAACTTAGTTTCTGTTATTTTTAGTCTAAATCTCACTTCTTTGATTGGGATCATTCACAGAGTAACGAGTTCTTTGCTATGTTTCTGGATGAGACGATGACGTACTCGTCAGCCATATTCAAGGTGACTAAAAACTTAGACTGCTTTCTCTACCAAAGCTGAAACAAGAGAAACTTTCTCACATTCTACTCTAGTTTTGATTCGAGATTCGGGTTTAACGCTTTTGTAGTCGGATAATGAGGATCTGAGAACTGCCCAAATGAGGAAAATTTATCTTCTTATTGATAAGGTAATCACTAATCATATCGTGGCTTCTGCAATATTCATAAAGAATATAAATTAATTTGTGATATATGATGAATGTGCGTTCTTCTCATTCTTATACCTTCACGGTCGAACATTTCAGGCGAGAATCGGGAAGAACCACGAAGTTTTGGAGATTGGATTCGGCTGGGGAACCTTTGCTATAGAAGTTGTGAGACAGACTGGATGCAAATACACTGGCATTACATTATCGGTCGAACAACTCAAATATGCTGAAGCGAAGGTGAAGGAAGCTGGGCTTGAGGTGCGTATATAACCATCTACGAAAATTATTTTCAGACTATAACATGAAAATATGGACCGACAACGAAGTTATGTTCTTTTGATTCCAGGATCGGATTACGTTTCAACTCTGCGATTATCGCCAACTATCTGATTCCCGTAAATATGACAGAATTATAAGCATGTAAGAAAAAAACCTTTCTAGATTTCATATAAAATGGTATCTTAAACTATGTATAACCGAGATATTAATTACATTACCGACGTTTCAGCGAGATGTTAGAAGAGGTTGGACATGAATTCATCGAGACGTTTTTCAACAGATGTGAGTCTGTGCTGGCGGAAGACGGCCTTCTTGTTCTGCAAGTAAATTAATATACTCATTCTCTAGCCATTTTCTTCAAATGTTGTGTTTTCCTGATCTTAACGTTTTTTTTTTTTTGCATTTGGATATCAGACCATATCGATACCGGAGGAGCGTTACGACGAGTACAGACTGAGTTCGGATTTCATCAAGGAATATATCTTCCCCGGCGGATGCATTCTTTCTTTAGCCAGAATAACATCAGCAATGGCTTCTTCATCAAGGCTATGGTAAGTCTTCTTCTTTTACCATTGTAAAACAAACTTCACGTGAAATCTTCGTTATCCACCTCTGAGATCGGGAATTTGCAGCATCGAACAAGTTGAAAACATCGGAATCCATTACTACCGGACCTTGAGATGCTGGAGACAGAACTTGTTGGAGAGACAAAAGTAAGAAAGAATCTTTTCATCGTTCTTTTGTTATCTGAATCCAATAGATTCATCATGGGGAAAACAACTACATCCGTGCAGACGAATCGTGGATCTCGGATTCGACGAGAAATTCATTAGAACATGGGAATATTACTTCGACTATAGTGCGGCTGGTTTCAAGACTCTTACCCTCGGAGACTATCAGGTACCAAAAACACATACAATATGTACCCAAAGAAACAAAGCATTCGCATTTCAGTGATATATTGCTCGATTTGGTGTAACGTTTTTCGCGTTTTCGTGATTCGTAGATGGTATTTTCTCGCCCCGGAAACGCAGCTCTGTTTGGAGATCCATACAGGGGCTTCCCTTCGGCTCGTTGTCTGTGTCCAGAAACCAAAAACTAGATGACCTTAGAAGGCAGAGGAGTGGCAGCGTTTGGGGGAGGCTGCGGCGATACAACCGGTTAACTTTCGGATTATAAAAAAAATAAATTAAGAGGCGAATACGAATAAACTTTATTTCTGATACTATGGAAACACATGAAGACATAGCCATCAAGTTCAAACAAAAGAGGAAACGTTGTGGAGTTCACATATTTATTTGGAGAGAATTAAAACAACTGGAATTCAGAACTCATTTGGTATTAGTTCAGCTTCAGATCTTCCAGCGATCCTTTGGCATGGCCTTGGAAGAAACGGTTCAATCTGTCAAAGGTTTGTTCCACCAGAGAAAAGTCCGAGTACTCGACCGTTATCCTCACCCAACCCTCGAGCCCCATCGCAGTTCCTACAATTCACGCAAATCTTCGCTATGTTCGCTTGCCATAAACCGAAAAGAAAACGAACGGGTCAATACGCGATCCATCATTACCAGGCACGAGGACGAGGTTCTCCTCGGCGGCTAGCTTTGAGCAGAACTCATTGTCATCCTCGATGTCCTCCAACTGCGAAACGTCGAGCTTCCCCTACAAAGATCCGATCCGTCCTCTAATAATCGATCGTTCATCTACCAAATACAATATAGATTGATATAAACTCGTACAGAAGCTGTGTGCAAATGTGTATGTACCCATAAGAAAGTGCAGGCTTCAGGTTTCATGGGGCAGCTGAGACAGGGTATGTTCTTGAGCTCTTCGAATCCATAGTCGACGTTTCTTTTCAGGTACGCGTTCTTCTTCGCGAAGAATTCGCTCGGGGTTTTCTCGAGGATATCCGAAAGAGCCGCCTACCAAAAAGATGCACATCACAAATCATTTCTAAGAAAGCATCAACTTAATGTCTTCTATATATATATATGGTAGTGTGAATTTACAAACCTGGAAGATGGTTGCGGGTTTCGAATTTATCTCAAGATTATCCTTGATAGCTTCAAGGACCTGTTCACAGAGAGCAGAAAGAGATGTTACGCAAACACTGAGCCATTTTTGTTGACAAGAACATGTTGTATCCAACGTTCTCTCTTGTCTTAAACTGCGTCTAGGGAAAG